ATGTTAACTAACACTTAAAGGGTATTTTAGTAATCTCTGACTTCAGAGAGATCTCTAAGCATTTCACGATTCTCTATCGATTATGCTTGTTGTTCACTGATTGGAATATTATTTAGCCTGATACCGACTTGGGTTCATTATTGGGTAACAACACTCTTAACGATCTTATCGTACTCTTCCCAAAACCCTTAAAGTAGTGGAACGACTTATCCATTCCCAGTTCACTGACATTCTCGAAGCCCCATACTTTTTGTCAGTATTGAATCTGACATATTCATCGTACCACTTATCGGATATCTCTAGTAACAATCTTTGATCCCAACTATCCGTATACGTTCTTGATTGAATATACTTTGGTGTATTACGCTTAATATGGTTACACCCGATGTAACCTACTCCTACTAGTGTTTTTAGGTATGTTGGGTCATTTATGTCCCTCACGGACTAAGTCTTACTATTACAGATCGTTTTTAGATCTTACGAACCTCATACAAGTCAAAAGAACATTCAAAAACACTTAGGACCTTTAATGAATTCAAAATCATCTTTTTCCATCGAGCAAAATAGAGAAGGGATCGATCATTTCTGTCGAGGGATTGATCATTTTCTCCAAGGGATCAATCCTTATGAAAAGGGACCGATCCTTTCTCCCGATGGATTAATCATTTTAAAAAATGATCGATCTTTTCCTGAAAAAAAACTTTGGGATCGATCCCTTTACTGGGAATGACTTGCTTAAGCTCGGGAACCACTTAAGAATCACCCCAAATGACATGGGTTGGTTTATAAACTTATTCAAAAGCTTTAGTAAGTTATTCAGAGTCTTAAGGCATCATTTAAACATATTATTAACACTTAAAACGTGATTTGGTTGAGAAATCAAATATGAACCCTAAAATGCCCAAATCACTAAATCTTAGCAAACAAAGATAAATTTATGAAACCTTAATACTCCAAAGGATTAAAAATGCACTACCTTGATTTTAGAAATCCAAAATGAAGCTCTTTTTTTGCAATGAAACACTCTCCTTTTTGACTAGGTTGATTTTTTATCTTTTTCCTCTAGTCAACAAAGATGAAAAGATTTCTCAATATACAAGGAGTTGTAGGGAGCTTTTGAGTCTAATTATAAACTTAAAGGAGTATAGAAAAATACTATTACCAACATTTGAACTAAGGAAGCTTGGAGATGAGAAGTAAGAAAAGAAGAAGAGGAAATAAAAAAGAGAAGATAGGAAATGGGAACCCACGTTGAAGCCTAAATAAAACCCCCAAAAACCAGCTTCCCTTTTCTTCAATGGTATAATTGCACTTTTAGTCATTTGCATTTTGTCTCTTATTTAAAAATCTTCTTTTTATGACTAATTGGGCCCAAATCCAATCCAGTTAAGCCTAACGACTTAAATTGAAATTACCATGGGGTCCAATTACCTCTTGGGTAAACCCAAAATTAGTAGCCCATAATTTGGAACTCTAAACAAACACAACAAATCTAGAAATAAACAACTCTAATAATTGTTTATATATATATATATAATGTCTTATTTCTTCTTTATTTTTTGGTAAAAAAAGGATTAGGATTCAGAAGGTGGGACAGAGATTACAACAGAGTTATGTGGATTTATAACAATCCTATCAGGAACATCCTCCTCCATAAAACCAAAGATATGAGAAAAAGTTCAAGTGGCAGACTACATGTTTATATACCTCTCGATCCAACTCCGACCCCCAATTCTAGATAATTAGTACAACAGGTTTGAAATTCGAATTTGGATTCTCAGATTTCTTGTTTAAGATATCTATCACAATTAAGTAAGAAGATTCTAACTTTTGTGTGGAAATTTCATGCAACACCAAAGACCAAGATCAACACTCTAACCAATAAAATTGAAAAGTTAGTTAATCTAATCAATCTAAACAGAGTGGTAGGGTATTATTCTCCATCTTTTCAAATAATAACAACAAAGTTCCAGAGTGGAAATTGTTGCGGAATACGACTATCGGATAGAAAAAATTCGCAATTGATGATTTGAGAAAATAAAAATGAAGATAAAGAAGACACAAATTTTACATGAAAACCCCCTAAATAATATAGGGTAAAAACCATGGGCAAAGATAGAAAAATTTCACTATGAGAAAATAGGAATTACAACTTCTCTCGATCTAACAAGGAGAAAACAATAACAATTCGCTCTTGATAAAAATGATAAAACAACTCTCAAGAAAACTCTCTAAATTCTCTAGTATTAGGAGAAAACTAGAATGATTTTGGGATGATTTTGAAGCTAAATGGGTTAGGGTATTTATAGTTGAAACTTAAGGATTAATCTTGTAAATATCCTAAAGTACAGGGACTAAATATGCAATTTTCTAATGCCATTTTTTCAACCAAATCATGCCACGTCAGAGACCTTATTGAAAATGAAGGAATAAGGAAGAATGAAGAAAAAGAAGAATGAGAAGAAGAAGAATGAGGGGTTTAACGGAGTTAACGCACCACGTCAGCTAAAATTAACGGAGGGTAACATCAGGGACCTTACTGAAAACGAATTAAAAGTTCGATGGTTGTATTGCAAGTTTTAAAAGTTGGATGACCAAAATATAAGCACCCTAAAAGTTTAGGAATTATTTATATATTTTACCCTAAAAATAATGTTGTTAAGCTACAACGGTTAAAAAAGAATTTCGTTTCAAAATTATTTTTCTATAATTTTTTTTCACATTTTTGGTAAACACAAGGAATAAATTTTAAGACCACACTCATTAATTGATCGGATGACAATAACAATGCACTATATAAGGAAATTGTCTTATCACATTAAATATGATAGAGACAAAAAAGTAACCCTTTAAATACCATTTCAAAAGTATCTTTTTATTATGGAATATATACTCTTACAAGTTGCACCAGTGAGCATTGCCAACAAGTCATTAATATATTAAAATGATTTTAATCAAGTTACTGATCAATAACTGTTAACAAAAATATTATCATGACAATAATTTTTTTTATATAATTACACATATTTTTTTAATCTCTTATTATATAAATATTTTATGATGGGAGGAAGCACCAGTGACATACACATATTTTTATATTATAAGACTAATTTATAAAATTTTAGAAAAATAAAAATAAATTTATTAATATTTTTTTTAAAAAATATTTAAATTATAGAAGAATTTAATTCTTTCCCACCAACAGAGTTGTTTCAACATCTTCCTACAACAACTGTTAATCTCAGCGTAATTGTAATAGTTTATTGGATGTTTGCACTCAAACTAATCTGGTCTGATATCGGCACAGTAGTGTCTCATAATTCTCTGTCTGAGTATGTAATTAATGGATTTGCATGGGTTCTAAATATTAAATTGTAAAATGTGTCGATTAATTAAAAGGATGTTGTTTTTTTAGAAGTATTAGGTTTAAATAATTACGTCCGTAAGATATTTATGTTATTAATAATTTAAAAGATTTTAAATAATTACTATTTTATAATTAGGTCAAAATATTAAAAAAAATACTTAAGTGAAAGGATAATCTATTTGGATTTGATAATCTCGATAGTGGATATTGTCGAGATTGGATGAAACTCAAATGAAACTGAAAAAATTAACAAGAGGAGTGAATTGACTTTTTGAGTTTAGGGAGTATAAAAATGAAATAATTTACACAAGAATTTATAGTGGTTTGACTTCTCAACTAAGTCTGCATTCACTACCTAAGCTACTTATTTATGATTTTCTAACAAATTCACTAATTTGTTCTTTCTTTTTCTAAGATAAAGAGATAACCTTTACAACTCCTTAGATTTTGAAAAGCTAAACTAGAACCAATTCCCTTTACAAAAGGAATAAAAGATGTAAACAAGAAAACCTCTCAAAGGAATGTGTTTACAAAAATTACGCTCACTAAAACACTAATATTTACAAGAGAAAAGAAAATAAGAATGAAAAGTTCTTTATTGTGTTTGATTGCTTAGATAGGTGTTCTCTCTTTTTCTTAAGGGCGTGTTTGGTTTGTGGAATGTGGGATTACCGAGGGAATGTAATTCACATTCTCCCGTTTGGTTGGCCGGTAATCTCATTCCCGATAATGTTTTATTACCAATAGTGAAATTTTTGGGGAATGTCATTACCCCTTCCCTTAGGTATTGTTGGTCAATTTGGTCAAATATAAATTCCAATAATCTTTTATTCCTTTAACCAAACACGATAATATTACATTCCTGCTAAACCAACCAAACACAAAATACAACATTCCCAGTAATCCTATTGCATGGTAATCTTTTATTCCCACTGGTAATCTTTTATTCCCATTGGTAATCTTACATTCCGTGACCAAATGCACCCTAAGCAGGGGCGGGGGTAGGGCAGCGCAATGTACGCGACGGAACAAGACACCGGAATAGCAAAGGCCCCAAAAAATTAGATTTATTACTATTGTTACAATAAAAAAATCAAAGTATTACAGATCAGTGGTAAATTTTTTGGGCCCAAAACCACAGAACCTGCGATTGAATCTTGTTGAAGTCATATGAGAAATACCAATAATTAGTACTGTGCTATAGATGTAAAAATTACCTTAATTTTTTAGTTAATAAAATCATCTTTAAAAAAATTGAGATTTAAAGGCGTCTTTTTAAGAATTTGCACAGGACTTCTAACGTCCTAGCCCCGACCCTGACCTAAGTGTCATCAACGTATTTTTATATGTTAGAATGAATTTGTGGTCGTTTATACAAATGTGATGGATTTTGAATTGGGCATATCAATTGAATATTCAGCGGAGTTATTGGGCTTGAATTTTGTTCTTATTATTGTTATTGGTACTGTTTTCAGGATTATTGAACTTTGGACCCAGAAATAAAATACACCTATTTTGGGCAATTTAATCAAGGGGCCGAAGCTAGCTTGGTTTCTGGAGAAATCTGGAAATTAAAAGACTCAACTGGATCTTTAATTTCTCCAGAAAGTCTACTCTTCCTTTAAAACATAACCCTCCATTTTATCATCTGTACTTGTATGAGCTAAGCAAGGGGAGACGAAAGTAAAAGCTGTAGAAGAAAAATGTCTGGAGCAATTTCAAATATCACCATTTCTTTCCCTTTACACTCTTCAAACCCACGCAGAAATCCTTGCCACTTCCCCTTTACAAACAACCGAATCTTCAAATGTAAGAACTGCATCGGAGCCATGGCAGCACAAAACAGAGGCAACCTCGACCACTTGCAAAGAGCTACTACCAGACCCGACAAGAAAAGAGTTGACCCGCTTGCACCGACAGGTTAGTAACATGACCCAAAGCTTAATTTCTTCTCTCTTGTTCTAGGATGCTGATCGAATCTCGAACTCGTGTGAAACAGGGTCATGGGACAGGTTCCCAACAGAGAGAACAATGCAACAGATGATGGAAACAATGGAGAGGATAATGGAAGACCCATTTGCATACTCGACGCCGTTGCCGTCCTCACCCGAGGACAGCAGAGGAAGGAGGACGCCATGGGAGATCAAGGAAAGAGAAGGGGAGTATAAGGTGAGATTTGATGTGCCCGGGATGAACAAAGACGATGTCAAGGTTTGGGTTGAAGAAAACACTTTGGTTTTCAAGGCGGAGAAAGTAGTTGGTAAAGAGAAGATTAATGGGGACGAAGACGAAGACGAAGACGAAGAATGGGATGCTAAGAGCTTCGGAAGATATGGTAGCAGAGTTATACTGCCTGAAAATGTTGAATTTGAGAAGATTAAAGCCCAAGTGAAAGACGGGGTTTTGTATATTACGGTTCCAAAGGCAAGTCGTGATGGTAGGATCTTGAACATAAATGTTAATTGACAATTTTGAACATTCGTTGTAATTATGCTATTATTATATAAGATAATTTAAAATTAATTTTACTTCTATAATATTATTGTTTCACTTTTTTTAACCATAAGGGTCATCATTAAATCATAGTTAAAAGTTACTTTGGTAATGATGATTTGTTTCTATCGAACCATTCAATTATTTAAATGATTCATTTAAGTTATTTTCTTTCATTGTTAAAAGAGATGATTTGTGTTGATTAATAAAATTAACATAATTATATATTTAATGTTTAATATTTATATCAATTAAATTTTAATTTTAATTTAGTTTAAAAAATTAACTCTACTACATGTTAACATGTTAGATTTAATTATAGTTTAATTTAAAAAATTAACCTTGTTATATGTCAACATGTTAGATTTAATTTAAAAAATTAACTTTCCTATTATGTCAATTGTTATTTCGACACATATATTATATTATTGGAGGTTAATTTAATTAATTTCATTATTTTAATTAAATAAATTTTATCACTTATTAGTGAGGATTAACCCGTGTAATAACCTATGTAAAAATAAAATAAATTAGAATAGAAATATTACATGGGATAATTAAACCAGAGCAAATCACCTTTTTGATTTTAAATTGTATAAATTTTATATTTTTTATTTAAAATTATAAGATAACAAAAGAAAATAATAAGGAATTTATAAGATTTAAACTCCAAAATTTTCAATCGGATTGAAAAACTTTAATCAACTAATAACATAATTAAAGTATATATATATATATATATTTGTACAATAACGTTTGAATCATGGATGGTTCTTTCCGTTCGGATTAGAGTATCTCTCCTTTCGAATTAAAGTATATTTAAGATCCAATTAGAATTTATATAAGAATTTACAGATTACTTATTAAGAGTGACGATAATAGGATTTAAATTTAATTTTATAAACTTAAATTTTTGAATCTCAACTATTTATACTAATATTAGTTGGCATATATAATATTTGTTAATGGAAAAATAAATTTTTGAAAAAATTTCATAAATAAATTATATATTATATATATATATATATTAAATTATAGTTAATGAAAGTTTTTTTTAAAATGAATATGATATTTTTTATTCTTTAAATTAAATTAAAATTTTATTTTTCATAATTTTTTGAATAATTGTAAATTTAAAGTAACTAAGAATTAATTAAAAAGGTTTTGAAGACGAAAATTTAAGATTCAGATTATAAATATTTTTTATGATTTATGTTATTTTGTGACTTTGAATTTTCTAATAATTTTCTATATAATTTTAATTTTTAATATAGTTTATTTATTATTATTTAAAAATAATTTAATTTAAAAATATAATATTTAATTTTTAAAAAAAATCTTTCATTAACTATATATATATATATATATATATATATATATATATGAAAGAATCTCAAACAAAATATATAAACAATTGTGCAAATTGGAATCAAAAGGGTGGTTTGCCCCAGCGGCAAAGGCATGGCCATGGGGCTTCGTTAGTCCTTGGTTTGACTCTTTCTTTACATAAGGGGTTATGTGTGTCAATTTGATTGGTAAGAAATTTTATTTAATTAATATATTAAAATTAATTAAATTAACCCTTCAATACTATAGTGATATGTGTCATTTAAAAATGTCATAATAATATGTTGACATGGAGTACCTTAAAATTGGAGAGTTAATTTTTTAAATTAATTAAAATTAAGACTAAATTAAGATAATGTGAAAGTGTTGAGGATAAAATGTATAATTATGTCAGATTCATTAACAAACATGTTATCATTCCTGCTAAAAATTAACCTAGAGTGGTTTGAATGAACCATTTAAATAGTTGAGTGGTATGTTGATCGAAACGAAACGTTGGTGGTAAAAGTGATTTTTGACCATAGTTTAGTGGTCTCCCATATAGTTTATCTTCTTTTTATTAATTTGAGTAAGTACAATGTAGTATCTGTCTAAACATATCTTTCAATAATTTGATATTGAACGTTCACATCTATGATATTCTTAGTATTTCAAGTCTTCAAGGAATAACAATAATTTATTTATCACTGAGACTGATTGGTTTGCGTTTGTCTTACTTTCTATGAATTTAAATTTTAACAATTATCTTTAAATATAATATTTTTATTTAATAAAAAATATAAATTTTAGTTAAGAGGTTAAAAGTTTAATAAGTTATCATGATTCATGTGACGAATTATACCTTAAAAGTGAAAAGTATAATAAAAATATATTTGTTTAAGAAATAAAAAGGAATTAATTTTAAATTTTAATTATTGATCGGATAGTTAATCATGTTTATATTATTTTAAAAGTGTAGTTTGTAATTTTTCTTTAGTGCCAAATTCCACTTAAGTCCTAGTCCTAGGCACAATTTTGTAAAGAACCTTAGCTATCTTTCTGCACTTCTGGCTGGTTATGTGGTTTGGATTACGTTAGCTGTCTATGCTAAATCTAAGAGGAGTTTATACGAGCACGTTAATACATCAGTTATATATGCATAGTACAGGTCAGAAAACATGTAGCAGTGTACAAGTATTATGTTTTAATGTTTTATCACCATTTGTATTATGCATGTTTTTCAACATCCAAGTCCAAACTGTTTATGGAAATGGCATACAAATTGAAGTAACTGATATAGAAAAGGATGGTTTCTTCAATCGAAAATCAGCCCCGATCATTTGGATTATGTTTGTTTACCTCTTAATGGAACCATTCAGCGTTGAATGCTGAACTGTTCAACATTCAGCGCGTTTGTTTCGCACCTCTGACTGATTCAACAAAACAGTGTTGAATGATTCAGCACATAAGTACATTCTGAATGATTCAGAGTCATTATCAAACAACATGTCACATTCATATCTAATTCATACAGAGCATCCAAATAATTCAGTATTTGAATCATTCAACGCTTTATAGTCATTCAACCGAATGATGACATGTGACATCATTTAATTGGAGGGCTGAATTTATTTTAATTTATTAGAAGTATGACTAAATTAAAAGAGTATATAAATATAACAGGGATCAAATTAGTGGTTATAAGGAAATATCAGGTCACCTAATCAGTTAATATTTAACTTCAGTTAACCTGTAGTGACCACATATCAATTAAATAAAATCGAAAGTGACCATGTCTTAATTAAATAAGAACGAAAATGACAATATATTATGGTTTTAGAAACTAATGAGAAAAAATGAACAAAACACAAACATGAGTGATCAATCATGTAATTAACCATTTGATATATAATTATAGTAATGAACTTATTGTAAGCACAATTTAGACCATTGTTAGGCGATTTTAAAGTCATATACTAATGGACCCTTTCCCTATATTGGACCTTGTGGCCTAAGATGAACCAGAAATAAGAAAATATAAAAGCAGAGCAGCTAAGCATAATGTCACGCCCTTAGAACTTTGACGTCTCGGAACGTGCTGCCTTAGTGGTATATCAATAACAACTAGTTCTCTTTGTCAAATCGGATGAGTAGTCCATATTAAATTGACGTTAACATCCTTTGAGTTGCATTTCAATTCAGGTCCATTTTAACAATTTAGTGGTAAATGTCTTTAGTTTGAATTTGAGACGCTTTTCCCACTTCCAACTATTCGAATGTGAAGGCATCAACCCTCACGAGCGGCCGCCTTGTGTCGTTCACACTACCATCTCCTCATTAAAACCAAACTTGTCTTTATTCTTTGACAGAGACAACGCGGTCTCGAAGCTCATGCATCCGCCTCATCGTTAATTGATTGCTTTATTTGTGGGGACCCTTAGATATTGCACCGTAACACAACTTAAAGATCCCCCTTTCAAGTTTTCGAAGCTCCCTGTAACGTTGAACACTTCTATCCTTGCAATAATTTGTCATTTTCCAAGAAATTTCTCTCCTCATTTGCTTTACTATTAATTGTTCGTAACACTTTATGATAGCTATTGATGATGTAAGATTTTGATTAATTTTATAGTTTGGGAAAATAAAGAACACTAAGAATTTGAATCACTTTAAATGCACATTTCTCTTTTAATATCTAAAGATGCATATATATATACATATACATATACATATACATATAAGGACGTGCATGAGGTGGGACGGTTGTATAAGATCGAAAGTGAAAAAGTTAACTTTAGATTTAGAGAATTTGATGAATTTCTTAGAAAGTCTAATCTCATACTGTTGATGGACAATGAGCAATAGTTCATGGTGTTTCAAAAGGTCAAAAATGAGGAGGTTAAGTCAATAATTGGTAGTTTAAAATTTTAATTTGGATAAAGAATCATTGATTAGCGGATCTTTAAGTGAGAAGAAGAACTTGATTCTACTATGGAAGTAATAAACTATGATATTTAAGGAAGAAGAGAGAATAGAGAAGAACGCATTTTATAATGCACAGATACACATGCAGCCAGTTTTACTTAACAGCCTAACCGACCGCCTAACCACCTTAGCTAATAATCAAGAGACACGTGCATGCCTAGCTGTCAACGCTACTATGTTTCAACATCCCCCAAACTTTTTCTTATACTTGTTGAATGTTAATCCACTCTCGAAACACTTCAAACGCGGCTCGAGCAAGTGGTTTTGTGAACCCATCCGCTATTTGGTGGTTGACAGGAACATAACTAACCTGGAGTTGTTTTGTAGTAATTTTTTCACGAACGAAATGGATATCCAAATCAACGTGTTTGGACTAAGCATGGTAAACCGGGTTTCATTGCAATCGCTCTAGAATTGTCACACCACATGATCGGTCGGTCAACTTGTTCCTCACCAAGGTCAGAAAGTAGAGTATTAACCCAGGTTATCTCAGCTGCCACGTCGGCGAGGCTCTTGTATTCTGCTTCCATAGTTGAACGAGAGACTGTCTTTTGCTTTTTAGCTAACCAAAACACCATGCAATTCCCTACAAAAACACAATTGCCTGACATGGACCTCCGATCATCCAAGTTGCCACCCCAATCATCATCCACGAATGCTACAATCCGAAGACCCGTGTTAGTAGGAGAAAAAAACTAAA